TGTCGATGCATCAGTGTGTGAGATTGTAATACCATGTAATGGCCTGGCAATTGTTGAGAAATTGCTTATAAACTTTCTGTAAAAGTTACAAGGTCCTAGCAAGCTCTGGACTTCATTGACTTTCGTGGTGTGGGAAATCTCTTGACGCAATGTATCTTTTCCTCATCTGGTAGGATTCCTTTTCCACTGATGTGAAAGCCTAAGATTTTAATTTCTTGCTTCAAGTATTCACATTTGCTTGGCTTGAGGGTCAAATTTGCCTGTCGCAGTCTTTCAAAAACCTCTCTTAGTTTTTTCAGGTGCTCCTCTATAGTTTTGGAAAAGATAATTATATCGTCCAGGTATTTCCTTCCATTTTAGGTCCCGAAAGACTGCTAGTCAGCTAGTTCTTTGAAAGTGGCTGGAGCGTTACATAGTCCGAAATAGTACGTCGAATTCGTAAGATCCATTCCCTTGTGCTATAAATGCAGTGTATGGTTTAAAGCTTTCTTGGATAGGTACTTGTCAGTAACCCTTAAATATATCTAAGGTGCTGAAGGAGGAAGCCTCTCCTAAATATGATAGAATATCATCGATTTGGGGTAATGGGTACGTTGATTTCCTTCACACCATTAATTTTTCTGTAGTCCACACAAAATCTGGTTTTTCCTTTTTTTTTTTCTTGACTAGCACTACTGGGCGAGCCCATGGTCAGTGACAAGGGCGAATCACACTGCTCTCTAGCATTTCCTGACTTTGTTCATCAATTATTTGCCTCTCTTCCTGTGATACTCTGTATGATCGACTTTATATTGGTTTGGCGTCCTCTATTTCTATTTCATGTTCAGTCAGATTTGTCCTGCCCATGTTCTTTGCTGATTTGGCGAAAATGTCATTGTATTCGAGAAGGAGTTCTTGAAGTTCCTGCTTGATCTTGTGATCTTCTAATGTTACTCTTTCATTGTTATTATTATTTATTTCTTCCTGTTGCGATCATTTTGACTGTTAGTGTACTTTTCCATAGCGGACTTCCTGGTATTTCTATTGGTACTCTGGTTTCTCCTAAGACTGGAATTCTGTGTCCTCCTGCCGTAATAAGAACCGTGTTGTCGTTTTTATGTAGCTGACCGGTTACTAGTTGCGTTTAAATGACGTTATTTTGTGCTCTAGTGTCGACTATGGCTGGGTATTATATTTTATTTATCTTGATTGTGATGCATAATATCCTGCTACTAAAGTTGTGTCCTAGGGCTAGGATGGCAGGGATAGTTTCGCCATACTCGCTCGTTTGGGTGTTTTGGCTGACTTCTACAAGTTGCGGCAAAGTGTCCAGGTTTCCCACAGTTGTGGCACAGTTCTCTGGTTTCTTGAGTTTCTTGAGTTGCCACTACTGTCACCGGCTAACGTTTGGCTTCTGCAGACAGCTGCAAAATGTCCCATTTTTCCACAGTTATAGCACTTTTTAATGGTTGCTGGTGGTGTTGAAGCTTTCACCAGGTCTGCTTGCATTTGGCTTCTGCATTGGGCCATCACGTATCCCCTTTTTCAACAATAATGACATACCATTATTGGTATTGTGGTAGGGTAGTTCCTAATCTGGTGTTCTTTGGGTGTGCTTTGTTATGAGCTCTTCTTAGGTGGTTTATCTGTGGTTCTTCTTATTTCTTTCAATTGTTTTAATGATGTCGGAAGGTTGTTTGGTGGATTTGTCAGTAGTTATTATAATGGTTTGCCTCAGTTAGCCCTTCACTGAAAATCCTTACGAATTCTTCTATGTCTAACGTATGTTTATAGTTGTGGTACAGTACTTGAAGTTCGTACAAGTACTCCCTGACTAATTCGTCTTCGGCTTGTTTTTTGCTTTCCACTTTCTTCTTGAGTGCCATTTGGTAATTTGCATCCTTGAATTCTTCTGAAAAATCTTTTACAATGTCTTCTCAGCTGTTGTTTTAGTAGTTGCGTTTATATTCCGCTCGTTTGGGTGTTTTGGCTGACTTCTACAAGTTGCGGCAAAGTGTCCAGGTTTCCCACAGTTGTGGCACAGTTCTCTGGTTTCTTGAGTTTCTTGAGTTGCCACTACTGTCACCGGCTAACGTTTGGCTTCTGCAGACAGCTGCAAAATGTCCCATTTTTCCACAGTTATAGCACTTTTTAATGGTTGCTGGTGGTGTTGAAGCTTTCACCAGGTCTGCTTGCATTTGGCTTCTGCATTGGGCCATCACGTATCCCCTTTTTCAACAATAATGACATACCATTATTGGTATTGTGGTAGGGTAGTTCCTAATCTGGTGTTCTTTGGGTGTGCTTTGTTATGAGCTCTTCTTAGGTGGTTTATCTGTGGTTCTTCTTATTTCTTTCAATTGTTTTAATGATGTCGGAAGGTTGTTTGGTGGATTTGTCAGTAGTTATTATAATGGTTTGCCTCAGTTAGCCCTTCACTGAAAATCCTTACGAATTCTTCTATGTCTAACGTATGTTTATAGTTGTGGTACAGTACTTGAAGTTCGTACAAGTACTCCCTGACTAATTCGTCTTCGGCTTGTTTTTTGCTTTCCACTTTCTTCTTGAGTGCCATTTGGTAATTTGCATCCTTGAATTCTTCTGAAAAATCTTTTACAATGTCTTCTCAGCTGTTGTTTTAGTAGTTGCGTTTATATTCCTGAAACCTCAGATTTGCGACTCCGTCCGAAAATGTTTCAAGATAAGCAATCTTGAGTTGGTCGTCCCATCCATTGGCTATTGCTGACCTCTTTTTTTTTTAATTTTTTTTTGTTTTACCCCCCAAAAACCATTTTTGTACCCATTTGCAGATCAAGTAAAGTGCCCTTGAATGTACCTATGGTGCCTAGGCACAGTTTCCAATACATCTGGTTTTGAAGAAAATGTCGCCAAGACACGTACCTAATTATGGGAAAAATTGTTATTTCAAGTTTTTCAATTTTTTCGTTTTACGCCCAAAAAGCACTTTTAGACCCATTTGCAAGTCAAGTAAAATACCATTAGGTTTGCCCATGGTGCCTATGCACAGTTTCCAATACATTTGGTTGTGAAGAAAATGTCGCAAGACACGTCATTCTAGGAAAATTTGATATTTCTAGTTTTTCAATTTTTTTGTTTTACCCGCAAAAACCACCCTTGGACCCATTTGCAAGTCAAGTTGTTGCCCTTGAATGTGCCCATGGTGCCTAGGCACAGTTTCCAATACATTTGGTTGTGAAGAAAATGTCGCAAGACACGTAATTCTGGAAAAAAATTATATTTCTAGTTTTTCAATTTTTTTGCTTTACCCGCAAAAAAACACCCTCGGACCCATTTGCAAGTCGAGTGAGGCACCCTTGAATGTGCCGATGGTGTCTGGGCACAGTTTCCAATACATTTGGTTGTGAAGAAAATGTCGCAAGAAACATAGTATTGTGAAAAATTGATATTTTTTGTTTTTCAATTTTCTTGTTTTACCTCCAAAAACCACCCTTGGACCCATTTGCAAGTCGAGTAAGGTTACTCTAAAATTTGCCCGTGGTTAGTGGGAACAGGTTTCGAAACAAACGGTTGTGAATGAAACCTCGGATGACAGGTACCTAATTCTGTCATACATTGATATTTCCGCTTCTTACATTTTTTTTGTAACCATCCTTGGACCAATTTCCAAGTTAAGTAAGGTGCCCCAAAATGAGTCTATTGTGTGGAAGGTCCCGTCCGTAACTTTGTGAAAAATTGATAATTAAATTATTTTAATTCTTTGTTTACCTTCAAAACCATGTTTTGAATCCATTTACAGTATTTTCTTGTTTACCTACAATAACTGAATCAATTCTATCATTTTTATAAGAAATTTATGTATAATACATAAAAATAAAATATAAACGACGCCACTGATTGTTCGGGTAGTCTCGGGAGTTAGGCTGCTAACTTTTGCCTGCCAAGTTCACGCGACTTTTCTTGTTAGCCTTAGCGTCATGTATTTATATGCAAAAGGTTGTACACTGAGGAACTTTACGAGAATCTCCATGACCATCGTTAAGCAAATATGCCTAATGATGAGCAGCTATAATTTTCTAAAACTGTCATTTAAACAATTTAACACAACAAGCTTTCGCTGTACCTACGTGTCCAATGTTTCTTTTAGAGGAAATATAATATTCTATCTCCACGTTCCTTTGAGTCGCCAAGGATACATTTTTCTTTGTACTGGATATCATTAACGTGGACTTTTCCTACTTTGTTATTAAAGTTGCCCATTATGATTAAAGTAGGTATTTTTTTCTATCTGTGTTCTTAAAAATGTCTCCATATAATTGTTCCACCTCATTTCCATAACCACATACAACACTTTGCAATATTTGGATTTCGTTCGACGCAACAAAGTGTTTCCGTCTTTTATGGACCTCATTGTAACTCCTCCTAGATGCGTATTTTCCTCCGAGTTTTTAAGAAAATACAGATGCTTGTTTCTCAATATAGTGGATTTTTCTTCCGGTAAACGTGTCTCGCATAACACTTTATTTTGGATTATCCGCATTTTTGAACAGCGAGATACGGGACTTGTACTTGAAAAATCCACCCACCTTGGGAGGATCCTTGCGTTTTCAAATTGATCAAAGTCTGTTTGTTGGAGGTATTGGCAACCATAATCTTTTTTGCTTGGCGGCTTGGAAAATGATCTGAGTACGTCTGACCATTATGTTTTCTTCAAACTTGATACCGTATTTCAAATCAACAACAGGCAATTGCTACAAACATGATACCGGATATCATGAACTATCTTCATATTAGGCGGCTTTCCTCCAAAATAAAGTACTTAAAATTTTTTGCTAAACAATATATACCGTATTTAAAAATATCAGAACAAATGCACCTTATTTGAAAGCGGGCAATTGCCCCGGCAAATAGCTAGACGAATGCTTATGTAAATAAATATGATTATAAATGATTTTTTGTGAAAATAAGTTAAATCTGCAAATAAATATCGTAAAATACCTATATATAAACAAAAAAAAAATTAAATTTATTATTCAGTCAAAATGGTCAATTATTGCAACTTGTGCTACTTAGTAGTGATCTTTTTACCATTATTATCAGCTTTTAATCTTACCGAGGAATTTTATTTAGAAACCTACCAAATATTATCTGGCCTGGGAAACTATGTTTTGCCTGTTAATAATGATGAATATTTTCCCATGGAAGAAACGGACGAAAAGACTAATGCTACCAATTGTAAGTAAATAGTTCTTGAAAAAATATTTGTAACAACTTCTTTAAACCTATATCAAATTAGGGAATGGAAATTTTGACTTTATAATCATCGGAGGTGGAACCGCTGGAGGTGTAATTGCCAACAGATTGACAGAAGAAAATAATTACAAAGTTCTCATCATAGAAGCAGGTCATCCATATCCAGACCCAGCAGCGGTACTAGGACTACACCCATATTTTATTTTTACTAAATACAACTGGGGGTATAATACTACTGAGCAGAAAAATGCATGTTTAGGTAAAAACCAGATGCCTAAATTTTTCTTCAATAATATTATTAAAAAATAGGTTCAATCAACGATCGATGCATGTGTCCCAGAGGTAAAGTCCTAGGTGGTACCAGTGTTATAAATGGCGGGATATATTCTAGAGGAAGCGCGGGAGATTTCAATTTTTGGGAAGCAATTGGTAATGTTGGTTGGGGCTACGATGATGTTCTACCATACTTCAAGAAATCTGAAAAGTGTCAAATTGATAGAGATTTATTAGATCAAGACTTTCATGGATTTGACGGGCTGCAGGCTACTGGAATGGCAGAAGATACACCAATACTAGTAAGAATTAAAATGAAAGTGTACAGTATAGTAGGTATAGTTACAGCAGGTAGCAGTTTTCCTGGAAGATAACCATATGTCGAATATATAAATTTATAATGCTTCGTGTTTGATTGAACACTTTCTCTGGGCTAGAAACAAATACAACACAATATACCTTACGAAAAATTTGATTCGTCCGCAATTTATAGATATGCAGATAGAGTGTAATTATCACAAATTCTGAAACATCGTCATCACATTTTTTATTTTGTTTATAACCTCTATACACTAGTCTTGCCCTTTCCACCATTTTGCCGCCGCCTATGTCATATAGAGAACACATTTTTAATTATTTGGAGCTTTCACTATTCATGTGTTTCATTATGTTCCAATGGCACTGGTTCAGTCTTCAGTCTCCATAGGTTTTTTCAGGGAGTGGTTGGAAAGAAGCCTTTGCCCCATTGCTTTACCTTAAGTCTAAGAAATGTCAGAGTGAGATTTCAGCTGCCAGAACAGTTATAAAAATTTTGGTGATTATTCTATATTCTGCATCTAATCTCATCATTATATTTTTGTCTAGATTCAGCTCAGTATTGACTTATGGTATATTTTCCAATGACTGTGGCTGTTTTCTCCTAATAAACTGTATATTTTGATCTTTATCATCGTTCCCATTGTCCAATGTTGTTGAAATGAGATTCTCTTTATTTTTATCATAGATAACATTTCCAGAAGTCATTCCCACACTCGACGACCATTATTCCCAATGTAACCCATTTTATTACGAGAACCATCTAATTTTCTATTTCTTCCTTCTGGTACAGGTGGACGAATGATACATAAACATGAAACTCTCACATCCAGAAACTGTTAATTTGTTCTAATTTGGCTTGAGTTGGTACCAAACTTCTTCTTCACGTGACAAAATTCGTCCCCATTATTGTCACATCGAAGACGTTGTAGCTTAGAGCCAAGATTCACTATAATCGTATCTAATACATTTAAAATCTTTATATTTTCAGTAGTGAATATAAACCATTCTTTTTTTTTTTCAGACAGAAGCCATACTTGAAGCTTTTAACGAAATCGGAATGCCAACACTAGACTATAATGGAGAAAGTTCCGTAGGTATCAGTCGAATGCAACTCTATTTGGACAGATCCTTTCGAACTGATACTGCTTATGCTTATTTAAAATCAATTCTTGACCGCGTTAACTTACATATTATATATCACGCCCTTGTTACGAAAATACGTTTCGATGGAAATACTGCCAGAGGTGTAGAATTTATGAAAGATGGAATCCTTTACTTCGCTAGTGCTAAAAAAGAAGTGATACTTTCAGCTGGTGCTATTAATTCACCACAGCTGCTTATGTTATCTGGTATTGGACCAGCACAGGAATTGCGTAAGCATGGTATCAAGTGTATTAAGAACTCGCCGAACGTTGGAAGGAATCTAATGGACCACATGATTTTTCCTGGATTGGCTTATCAGTTAATAACAACATAATCTTATATACCTAACTGGAAAACTAACTTGAATGATTTTAGGATAAATTCATCCTATTACGATAACGTTACTCTCGAAGAATCTTTACAATTATGGACAGAGGGCAAAAGGCCGCTTAATTCTGGGGCAGCTTCTGGAGGGGAAGTTATAGGGTTCTTGAAGTTGAGTAATGATTCCTATGAACGTCCAGATTGTGAGATATTTGTTATTGGACCTCCTTCTGTGGGCGGGCTTCTGGGAACAATGTTGGGGTAAAAAAAATTAGGTTCTATCGGCTTTCTGTATTTCTACCCTTGGTAATTTTTAGGTATGATGATTTTTATGCCCCCTTACTGGGAAGTCTTGACCCCTCTAAAACCATCTTGGTTGGTGTTGTGGTGGCCCATCCATCATCTAGAGGAACTGTTAAATTAACATCAAACGACCCTCGTGATTATCCTTCGATCGATACGAATTTTTTTTCAACATCGGACCTTCAAACAATGAATTCATGTACACAGAAAGCTTTACAAGTAACTTCCACCCAAGGATTTCAGAAAATTGGTGCTCAATTGATTCCAATGCCAATACCAGAGTGTGATGATGTTTTTCAGCAATATTCTGAGGACTGGTGGCATTGCGCTTTTAAGGTTCTTTCCGTTACTGTAAGTAGGAAACCAAAATATAATAGAGAAATAAGGTAACAAGCCCTTTTCTTCCTCAGTTTTACCATCACAGTGGAACGACGAGGATGGGTAAAAGCATCACAGATTCGGTGGTCGACTCAAACCTGAAAGTCCATGGAATAGAAAAATTCAGAGTAGTCGATGCTGGCGTAATACCCGAACTAATTTGCGGCCATACAAATGCCGCTGTAGTTATGATTGCTGAGAAAATTGCGGATGAGATCAAGAGGGAACATAAAGCACCATCTCCACGCTCCCAATAAATATTTCAGATGCAAAAAAGTAATTTGTAGTAGGTACCCAAGGATTATTGAATTGTTACATGAAGAAACCATTTTATTATTACGGTTTAATTACTCTACTCTATTTCTCTTTTTGTTCTGCTGTGTTTTTGTTTCATTTTGTCGCTTTTCCTCTTAATATTTTGTTCTATAAACTTTGGCAACAGGGTACTGTCGATTGTCAAGAGAAAGAAGAGGAAGAAAGAAGGAAAAAAAAAAATTAAGATTTTGGATGACTTGTGTTTTCTTTTTAAAAATTTAGTCCTTATTTGTAAAAAATAAAACTCAAAGTTCAGAAACAATAATTTCCATATAATAATGTATTATTTGAATATTTAGTACTTATTTCTTGAGGGTTTACTAGATAAAATTTGTTCGAGCAGATTCCGGCGCTTGAAGACTTCATCATCTACATTGGAATCTCTGTTCGAGTTCCTGAAAATGTTCCGTTCATATGGGTGTCACATGGGGGATAAGAGAATTTGGATCTTTGAAAAGTTTTTATAAGATGTGATAATGCAGGTGAGTTCTCGAGTATAAAACCAAAACAGTGGTGTAGTGAGAAGGCATTGTACTGGACCACACAGTACCCTACTCTACACAGATGAATGACAAGGCCGAGCGCCTAAATCGAACTCTTCTAGAGAAGGCACAACAATTGATATTTGACTCAGATGTGACAAAAAAGTTTTGAAGTGGAACAGGTAATATAGATAGTGCAGTCAATATGATGTAAAAATTCCCTTGACCTGGGCAAAACTGTGTATATCTAGGTGTAACTTAGCAAAAATGTTTAAAATAGGTAAGGTAGGTATTGAGTCACTCAAACTGCCTATTTTACATTAGAGAAAATTTTATCCCACACATTAGACTTACAACTACAAAAAATTCATTTCAAAGTATGGTTTATATTCCATAATTAAACAAAAATTAGAATGAATTGACTGTTTTCTCAAAATTCATTATAATCTTCATCTGTGCTTTCCATTCCTTCATCTTCCCTCCGCTGCGGACTATTTCCACAATTTGTTTCTTGACACTGACTACATGAACATTCCAAACCATTCTTCCGGCAACTACATTTCATGGCACCACAGCCGGTATTGCAGTTACATCTTGCGTAATATACTATCAGACGCTGATGCCAAATCCATTATTTTCGGTACATACATTGTCATATTATCATGTATACTCCATCCTCAGTCTGTTGGGTTCAAGCCTTCATGCATTTGCAAATTTGTATATGGAAATACAAATTTGCGAAAATGCACGGAGGCTATGGTACTTGGCAGCTGATTCCGTTGTGGGAAGGTTCTGTGGCTGAATGAAACATTTTGCCTTCGATACTCTATCAATAATAGTTCTATACCTAAGTGTATTTAGTTTATCATCTGAATTTCCACCAAAAATGCATACCATTATCCTCTTTCCATGAAGTAACATGCGCAATCAATGCCCTTGATGGCTTTGGCTTGACTGCTTTCAACAATACTGTTGGACTTTCAAATAACGCAGTTGGAAAGGAGCACAGTTCATATTTCATTACTTCTGCAAGATCAGTTTCACTGGAAGAAGATGACATAATCAATCGCTGAAATAACAGAGCTGGGTCAATAGTGGCCTCCTTGTTCTTGGCTCAATGAACGATACAGAAGAAATTGTTTTTGTCTTGTCATTTTGTTTCATTTCATACGAAAACACCTCCTGGCCCTTTATTTTTTTTCACAATGTCCATACCAATAGTTTTAAATGTATCAACATTAACTTGTTCAGCTGATGTGACACCTGTTACAATGTTTCGCAAAGTTGGGTCGTTTGAATGAAGTGAAATCAATCTCAGTAACTCAAATATCTTATCTGAGTCGTCCGTGTCTCGTTTCATTCGAGATTGCGCCAAATCATTACGCTGTTCACTAGACTCGTATACAACGTTTGTTAGCCTTTGCATTGAGTTATTTTATTCCGAATACACAGGCATTGACAACATCCAAGGGATTTTTCGTATTTCGGACATACCTACCACTACCTCTGGTGAGACCTCCACTTGTCTTGAGTGACCTCATTAAACACTGCTCAATTACCAGATCTTCTGGCAATCCCGCCGATATTTCATCAGTACTTCGTATCACATAACCATCTTTATTGAAAACTGCATAGATTTCTGGATGCATGCTGTGAAGTTCAGTCATGTTCTGTAAGTGAAGGTAAACTGATTTTGCCTAATTGGTATGCCCAGGTGCTGCAAAAATGGACAGGGCTTGCTTCTGTAAGACTTTCCAGTATCATTGGAAATGATCCTAAACGAGATTGCAGCATGGTAGCTACTGCAGAGTGATAATCAAACCAAAGAAGGCTAGTTCTTGAGGAAGATCTAAGCTCACTCTTTTTTGAATCTAATACATTACAAACTTCTCCCAGATATTCACTGGATTCTAATTCCTTCACATGTATGCTACCCTCCATTAGATTGTCATATGTTTCGAGTAAATGTTCAAGGATAATAGATATCTCGCCTTTATCACTTGGAAATGAATATTCGATAAGGTTGGTATGTATAGCGGCATCAACTATAAGGTGTCCTCTGAATACACCTTTTCACTGATTAAATGAGGGACTGCATTTTCTGCATATATCATATCAAAAACTTCGGAAAGACCAGAACCTGCCATTATTGAACCTACTGTACCCAAAAAATTCATAATTGTGTGAAAGTTTCCCAATTGTAGGACAAATGATTAGAGGTCATCATATTCCAGCTCAATCATGGAAGGTTTCCAGAACAATGGCTGATCAAAAGTTATGATAGCTGGGATGTGGTTCTTATCAGCGAAGTTTACCCTACTGCAGGTACACATTTGAAAATCATATTAGCGGGCGCGCTGCGGCACTGCGTGCCGCCAGCAGAAAAACATACGACATAATTCAAAACATCAAAATTTATTATCAAATAAAGTAAAAAAATAAAATAAATGGTAATTCTGGGCAACTAAATGAAATCCTTTATACTTGAAAAGGTGTTAATATTGACCTGGGCCGAGCACACTGCATTATGAGGCTACTTTCAGATATATATCCTTACCAACAAAAGTCTTCGAAAGCAGAAGTCTGAGTGAGTTTGGCAAGTAATTTAGACCTTCAGTAATGTTAAGGTTTTCACTTACAGGGTATATATCACAGTTAGTTGTATGTGCAGACTTAATGTCACTTCTGATTATCGTCGCAGCTGCTTCTGGGATAACGATCTTCTGTAGCTCGACATCGACAACTTTATCCTTTCTATAATACTGTCTGAGGTTATCATTGGCACTCTCACGCAGTGTCACTATATCTGTTGGGCCCTCACTTCCAGAAATAATAATAGTTTGTCCAAAGTGTTCAATTAGCTTGCGCTTCACATGTCTCCGGTCATATAGGCTGACACATCCGATCCTTCCAAAAACTTTTCCATGACACTTATGAGATCTGATATCGTTAGCTGCTCCTTGTCGTTACTTTGAAAATAGCTGCATGTTTGCAAAAAAGCTGATACCTGATGTTCCTTTCTGGCCGTCCTAATTTCGGTTTCTTTCCAGATATTTCTTGCACATAATAATGTTCAGGCATTAATACTTTTATCTTCGTATTTTCAACATTTTTGCCAAGTAACACCTTAAACACAAAGTTATAAATTTTGTAATGAAAAATACAATATTCAGCCGCCATCTTGGATTTTGACTGATTTCCTGGCCGGGATTAATGGGGATTTTGAATATGTTAAAAAAGACACTTCACAAAGTATAATGCAAAAATAATCATTTGTGTTGCAGTTTTGCTCAGGTAATAATTTATTTTCACTGCACTAAGGGCCGGTATTATAAAACACTGAACCGATGGTTGAGTTTCAACCTTCGGTTTGAATCCTATCAATTTGCACACTTATTAATTGAATCGAAGTTCATCAGAATCAGAATCAAGTATCACTTATTAGCTCCCCACGGAAAACCGAACAGAGAAGTACCCTGATCTGGTTCCTTATTCTTGAAACAGAGAAGCAGCGTTCCCAGGAGAAGAGTGTTCCGTCTTTCTCAATGATATGCAAATTGTTAATAAATAACGCAAAGACGAAACACTCGTTCTCCTGGGAACGCTGTTCCCCTGTTTCAAGAATAAGGAACCAGATCTGTTCCGACTTCAGATTTATGGTTTTAAAGCTTTTGCTAAAACCACAACAAGATTATGCTATGTTAATTCATCAATAGGCGGTCAATATGCCAGAAAAACAAAAATGTCTCTAAGCCGCGCGTAGAAGACGGAGCAAGTGGTCGTTTAAACTAAAAAATGATGGATGATACAAAGCAAAATTGGTATAGTTCGAGGTTAGTGTGAAGTTATTCATAAAACCTCATCCATGAAACTATCGAATCGCGGCCTACTTTTTACTATACCTGGCGGATTTTCATAAATCATTTCATGACTAGGTTTCCAAGATTGGGTATGGTATGGATGAACTGGGGGATGATCCAGGAAAATTCTGGGAGTATTGTAATAGAATGCTGAAGTGTCTTAAGACAAATGAAAGACTAAAAAAGTCGTGATTTTTGCTAATTTTCGATTTTAATCTGTACATGGCCTTTTGTGCCACATTGAAATGAAAAAGTCCTGATTTTTCCCAATTTTCGATTGTAATCTCTACACGACAGTGGCACTAAGAGCTATGTAGTGAGTTCCTGATTTTTGAGGCGCTCAGAAGAAGGGTACCGCAGGTACCTACCTATGGAAGAGAAATCTCAACCAAGAAAGGCTGTCATTTGACCAGAAATCAACCTTATAAGCCAGCTCCTGGAAGTCTTGACAATCCATTGAGAAGACGCCTCATTGGAGCTGGAGCGCGATGGTACATCAGGTTCCTTCAATAGGGCGTGACACCGAAGGAAGAGAGATAGAAAGTAAGGAGGCTCTTTCCGTGTCATTTCCTAGGCAAACCCTTAGTGCAGAAGAACTCTCTGTACTAAAGGACGCCATTTTGGAGGATATGACGAAGAGCGCGGAACAAAAGCTGCAATTTGGGGACATACACTTCCGCCCAAGGATGTTGCTAATTGACTGTCTCACCAAGGAAACAGTGCGGTAGCTGGAGGACGCGCCCCAGACTAGAGACCTGGCAGGGAGAAGAACTGATGGTATACCTGGGAGACGATATCCCAAGAGCGCAAGCTTCATCCTGTATATATACATTATTTGTCGATCTAGCAAAATCTGCTAGCTATGTGCATCACAACTTCTTGTTCAAGAATAAGCTTTGGGCATTGGATAATTTTGGTTACGCTGTAATTAATTCAATCTTTCAATTTTATGTATTAAATAAATTTGTTAGGTATACTCTTCCAATTTAAAAATTAAACTTTTGAAAAGTCTTTTCCTTCGGCTCGTTGTATAATTCGCACTCCATCATAGTCTTCCCAAGAAGCAAAGGGAAAGAAAATCCACGGCCTGGTCCAACACCTAGTACGCAGTAGAACGAGGGGCTTCGCATCCAGTTATGGAAGGTGCTGGGCTGGAAGGAAGAATGCAACAGGCAACTTTCAAACATAGACATAGAAGATGGGTTCTGTGAGGCCAATAAAAGAATGGATCTTCTACAGGTTCGGCAAAAAAAAATCCGGCGTGAAGAAGAAGAAAGCATAGGAAGAAACAGGCGAGGAACCAAAGGAGCCCACTCCCTCAGTTGCAAATAAGAATTTTCTTCGAAGAGAAAAAAGAAGACGAATGCCTGGTGAAAGGAGAAAATACTCTAATCCAGCAGAGCTGAAAATCCTCAGCGAAGAAGAAAATATGCCTCTGGGTGAATACGGGGCTCGGAGGTCCTATCTCAAATATACCAGAAGGCTCAATAATAGCAGGTAAGATGGCGAACTACACCAACATAGTCCGAGTAAACGCACATAACGCTAAAAGAGCATCTGCTTTCGTGGCGCGATTGTTCACTGCGGCACACTTGGGAGTATCTAAGAAACTTGGGATCATGAGTGGCAAATCAGGTGTCTACTAAGCAGAGGGGCTTGCTTAAGTAATCTGAGACTCGGTGTGACGACTAGAGCATGCATTCTCTTAAAATAAAACATCAATGCCTTATGTCTGTCAGAATTCACGTCGCGGGAGCAGGCTACTGTTCGAGTAGACATTACCACCGTACAACTACGACCTAGTACTATCATCAGGTTACTTCTCTGGAGATGAGCCAGCACCACCAGAAGAAGTACAGAGACTTGTCACCAACAGGAGCAAACTACCGCTCATATTCGGATGTGACGCAAACGCCTTCAACACTATCTGGGGAAGTACCGACACAATCCAAAGGAGTTAGAATTTATTTTTAAAACTAACCTAAGTATACTAAATGTAGGGAATACACCAACAATTGTTACTGGGATCAGACAGGAGGTGTTACACCACATAGTCCTCAAATCGACCAAATATGAGAAATTGGAGGGTATCACAGTCGAGCATGCGGTGTCTTCTTATAAGTCTCCATCATCTTTAACAAAAAGGAAGGTAGATAAAAAAAAAAAAAAATTCACTCAAAAACGGTTTAATTATTTTTTACAATAACACATTCAATTTTCTATAGGAAAGTATTACAATATATCGTATGTACAAGTTATATCGGGAACAATTATTATTTTACAACAATTTTATTTACAAAGAGAAAAATCCAAGAAATGCTTTTACAGCCCAGATTTCGTGAAAATTATATTCATAAAATCCTGTATAATGAATATTTCATTATCAAAAATCCGCAAAAATTTAAGTTATAACGAAATGATAACGATATATTAAACAAATAATATTGCTATTTTGTGCGATATAAAGGACGACTAACATAATATTTATTATCCCATTTTGACTTTTAAAAATGATATTATTGAACGCATAACAATAAAGGTAAGTAGACGTTTATCACCTCAGTAATTTACAAACATTTTAACTCACTCTCGGCATTTTAAGTCACTCTGCCCAACTAAAAATCTGAAACCTCAGTGATTTAAAATATTTTTAACACACTCTCGGCATTTTCCCTCGTACTTTATTTTTTAAATTTCCACAAAATGGGATAAATTTTTGTATACATCACGTGAGTTAAAATGTGTATTCATTCGAAAAAAATTAACCTACTCGCTAGGGCTCGTGGATTAAACTTTCTTCTCATGAATAAACATTCATTTAACTCACTTGGTGTATAAATAACTATTATCATTTCATGCAAAAAAATTATTACCTCATTTCATACGTTCGAAACTTTCGAATCCTTCTTAGGTGTAATAGTTAAATTCAAGAAATTGCACCCATATTTTCCTCATATTCAGGTACTTACTTATGAAGTTTTCAGGCATAGAAAGAGGTACCTAGGTACCGCTGTATAAATAGCGATATGGTAATTTTAATACCCATTTAGAATAACCCCATATGAAATAAAAAATTACCAACAAAAACGAACGGCGATTGCTAATACGTCAATTTCATATTAGACTATCCAAGATGCTGTCAAACCCAAATTAAAATGTCCGCCGAGAGGCACACAAACTCTTTGTTTGCTTGTCAAAGTCACGTGTTTTGGATAGGCTAATACAAATAAAAAATTTCTAACCTAATTTTATTTGTGTATTCAAGAACCGACATACATTTAGTCACTATAACGACTGATACTTCTAAATGAGTATTAAAAACTCTATACTTGTGCCTGTTAGGCTAATGGTATAAGAAAGTACAGCCCTTCTTTGCCTCGCCATTGAAATATTGGATCTATTTCCTAAAACCACTTTGGTACCGAACCTAACTTTATTAACTGAAGGCGAAAAATCTCCAATAATGAGAGCGACGAGAAACGCTGACAAGGGTACGCCATCATGTCAAGAACTTCGCCCCTGTTCTGTCTCCTCTGCATTTATTCACAATGTAAAATTTTACCGATTGAAACGCTTGCTTAACCATGGTGTCTCAAATATAATTCGTTTTTTTTTTTTTTGTACATTTTTGGGTCGATTACCTGTACTTGAAAGTGGGTAACGGCCCTACTCTTGGCTACACCAACTGAAGAAATGAAATGGATGAAATTGATCATTTAAAAAAAAAAATTATGTTAATGAAGTGGTTTTGGAATTATTATTATTGTTTGCATCCTGAAAAGAAAACGTTGCCAAACTCATGTTAATATAGGAAACTTATTTTTTCTTATTCGTCTATAGTGACAGAATTAGTCAGGAATACGCGCCTATCAGTCAATTATCACTTCTAAGTTCACCTGAAATGTTGTGATTAAAAATCATGACTCTCTGCGTAGGTAGATAGGTATCATTGGTATAGACCTAGGTAATAAAATCACCTTATAGTTGAACGTTGATCGTTAATTACGATTGTCAACAACAAATTATTGAATTAAGACATTTCTCTTTCAATAGGCGTTAAAGTTTATCACTGAAGATTTCATGTTTGTCTTAAATGCCCATAATATTTTTCCACATTTTGACAAATTGATAACAATAGATATTAATAACAAAAAAATTGACCACGCAACTGTTATTTGGTAACGATAGCAGTTTCCGCGGAGCTACCCATGCTCTCGCTTATCAAATCAAAAGTTTGCGTGGTCTTATCTAGCTTTCATAAATCCGATAATGAATTCTTGAGAATATTCAGTTCGATGCCTCCGTTACAGTCCAATTTTATTTCTGGGTGATTTTGTTGAGGACCAGCTAGAGAACTAGAAGAAACTGTACGTTCGAGAATTTCGCCCCAATATTTTTCGGAGAGACGTTCTAAGTCACAATCTGGTGTGTGTCCTAAGTAGTTGGAATTTGGCGAATTATTGCAGAAATGCTCAAATTGTTTCTTTTTTTCTTGAACTTTACGACAGAAAACCTGAAAAATAAAAAAAGCATTTAAACAAATTTCATCTTTCTAAACTTTTAGGAGGCTAATCCAAGCTCAAAGCTTGACCCTGTTCCAAAAAAACATGGTCAGCTTAAAGGTGGTTGACACCAGTTTTTGAAAGAGAAAAATACAATTATTATTAGCACCCCTTAAAAGATTTTCAGTTTTAATGAAAATCTGATATACCAGTGTTGGTAACTGCTGCTTTTTATTGGCTGAAAAGTTTGAGAAGTTTTATGTATTATTTCGCAGTACGTTGCTTTTTATCGATGGCGCTAAATTTTTATTGAGAAATTGATTGCGAGTTTTGTGGGCAAACTAATATAAAGTAGCAAATTGAAAATAAAATCAGACATATTACATCTGAAAAAAAATGGATGTCTGGCTTTATTTTCAATATCAATCAATAGTGCCTATGGGTCAAAATATTGATTAAAAATAAATACAACTTTATTTATCAAGAGTTAAGTAATTAATCGAGCAAACCCAAAGATGTCCATAGGTACTCTAAATTTTGAATTTGAAAATAAACATTTACCGCGAGAATACCTGTCCGCTAGTCCAATAAGGGGATAGGCGCAGACTCTATCAAGAAAAGAGGTGAAAGATGGGCGAGATTTCGAAGCTTGAACTGATCCAGGCCCCACAGGATAATCCCGTGAAAAAAATTTCCAGAGAAACGAATTTTAAATTTGCATTTTAGGTGTATTAGAGAAGTGATTTTACTTGGGTAGACATCACGAATTGGGCGCGACTGGTTTTTGTGTGCTATTTTCAAAAATAGCTGAGGATTTCAGTATTATTTTTTATTTCACGAACTATAAAGCCTACAGACTTCAGTCTGGTGTCAAAATCTGGGTATTAAGAGTAAAAACATAATAGTGGTAAAATTTAACCCTTCAGATTAACCATTACACCGATGGCATTTTCATGTAACCCTCTACAACATCTATAGATTTTTTGTTTGTTCCAGATTTTCTCCTTATTGATTTAATCACTTGAACATGGGTAATACAGTCGGCAGTGAAGCGCCTCGTACTTCTGTGGTCCTAAAAATCAGATATGAAGAGCTCTTTGATAAAACAAAATGCGTAATATGTCAAATTCACACGAATGAAACAGTAGCATCAAAGGAAAATGAACAGAAGAGAATCCGAGACGTCGCTGACATACGGAAAGATGATGTTCAAAAACGATTGAAACTAATGACCAGCTAATGACTGAAGATGACAAAGTAGTTTATCACTGTCACAAGTGCTTCAAATCAATACACTGAAAAAAATCTAGGATAAAATCAACCATAAAACACCTCAATGTAGTGAAGAGCCCGAGTCTTTTGCAGAAGATACTACAGTTGAGGATTAAGGCCATCCACTCAGAAGATCGTTGATTTCTGCGCGTCTACCCCAATCAGCTCATTTCAAACCTGAAGACCTTCCGTGTGTTAGATGTGGTTCATCCAGAATAAAAGTCAAAGGGACGGATGACAGAAAAAAATTCAGAATATGCGAGTCCAAAAGAGCAAACACTTTTTTATCAGCAGCTAGTTATTTCGGAGACAAAGTGTTTAGTCGAGTATGCTGATTTAAACAATGACATGATAGTATTTACAGCTGATTTGTATTCTCACCGCGCATGCGTATATATATTCGGAAGTATGAGTGTGCTTCTGATTACAGGCTATGGGTTCACACTCACTCACATTAGACAATAAATGGTCAAATGGCTAATATTGATGATTTATTGCTGATTCATAATAATGAAGCTAAGATTTTCTTGGTTAGAGTTTATAATGACAAAATTTGATTTTTTGAGTCCAATAGAAAAAATGAGCCACTTATGGTCTTCTCGGCAGACCTAACTCCTAAAGTTCTCGCTGCAAAAATACTCTCAAACAATACAGTAAAATCAGACTCTGGTGATGACATTGAAGATACTTGCGAAGATGTGGAAGATAAACACCTAAACCGACTAGCTGTACAAATGAACAGTCTTCTCCAAATTATGTTTTATCAAATTCATCCAGGGAAAAAGAAAACACCTTTACACATGATGACTGCACATGTATTATACAATAAATGTGAAAGTAAAGTACTTATCACTTCCATGGAAAGAATTGGTGTTTCTACAAGCTACAACGACGTAGTGAGAAGCAGAGATCTATTGGCAGCATATCCAGTAAAATCAGGCGAATCCATCAGCCTGCCGATACCAAGTCACTTATCTAAAAAAGAACTTATAATTGCCGCTCTCGATAACTTTAATTTTGAACACAGCTCTTCTTTGTCTGGAACATCCAGTACACACGATACCGTGATGGTACGTCCCCAAGATTCTAGCAATGACGTAGTTAATGGAAAAGGATCTGTAAAAGCCGCCGGAATTAACTGGCCACGCAACTTCCTTGTCAAAAAGTGCAAAATTACCACAAACCATTAAAATGTCCCAGTCTACAAGAAGAATTTCAAGTCGCTGAAGATATGAATATTGCTATATCCGATAGTGCAGTAACCAATGCTGATGCAGAGGAATTTCTTATATCGCTTCAACGATTTGGAATAACAGATGAGGAAAGTCCTGTTTCTTTTTGGGCTGCAATTCAGGCCCTGACCTCCTAGAAGATCGTCCTACTGAAGAAAGGTGGGTTTTGACCCGTCATACCGTCTCCAGTCACAAATTATTCCACAGTATTCACAGCTTCAAAAAACTTTCAAAATGTTCGCGTTTAACTTGAGGACCAGCCTATTCTACCAGTTTTCTGTGATAAAGGTGTTTTTCACATTGCTGCAGAAATTTTGATGAACAATCCAGCAGACTTCTGTGATCTTTATCCAATGATGGGCGACTTTCACATGACGAAAGTAGCATTGTGATGTGCAGGAAGTTATCTCAGTAGTTGTGGAATATAAATGGGAGAACACTCGGAGAACAACCCCCCAAATTTGAATAGGGGATAGGGGTCGTGTCATATCTCTTTCTGAAGGTCTCATCGAGTTCTTTATACCCCTGAAATTTCGTCTTATTATTTTAATCCATAACAAAAAGACAGCTTGTCAAAATCTTGGAAATAGACTATTGTTTTAGTGGGAGTAAAAGCGATACTTACCTTCCCTAATAAAAATACTTGAAATTGATGAGACCTTCAGAAAGAGGTATGACACGATCCCTATCCCCTATTCAAATATGGGGGGTTGCTCTCCCCCTGGCTAGGGGGTTGAAGCTACGAGGATGAAGGAAACTGAAAAATGTTTCCCCCTCAAATCAAAAATCGACGTGTCCCGGCGTTTTTCCGGATTCCTATTCCAAATCCAATAAATCGGGATGGACTGTTTTCCCTGGGACACCCTGTATAATAAATTTAATAAAGAATTTGGTTCATGCTGATCGGGAAGGTGATTGGGAGTTGCATGTGAAAACTGTAGAGTCGCTGGTTCCTATTTTTCACGAATTCAATTGCAAAAACTACGCGGGATTTGGATTTTGGTGGTATTTGGAAAGGCTGAAAATGGAGATGGAGGTGGAAAACCCTTATCTTTACAACAAATTCATACAAGGCCATTTTGTGGTGAAAGATAAAGAGGGTAGATTCAATTCTGTGGCTGCGGACATGAAACTGAAACAGACTATTCAAAGATCACAGAAAAGCTCAAAGGGAATAAATAGTTGGCCAGACACGTAAATGTGACTCGATAGGAGCTGGTATGCCACGAAATCCTTTCGATATGCAATGCCCTTAGAGACATCACAAATTTGAAGCTAATGGACCATCGTGAAACCGTGCACGATCACGACCTTCTAGGAAAGAGAGGAGAACATTTTAATGAGAACGTCAGGCGTCGAAGAGGTGAAAGACGACTTTTAGAGTTTGCCGTGGAACGTGAGACAGCCCTCACCAGAGGATTGATGGTTTGGGGTGGTATCAGCCTATATAGTAGAACTCTTCTAGTATTTCTCCATGGGTGCTTAAACAACAAAATATACATTCATGAAGTTCTGGAACCATTTGCTATACCGTACATTCGAGGGCTGAACGATATCACGTTCCAACAAGAAGACAACGTCCGTCCTCATATTACAGCGGTTACATTACACTTCCTGCAAGAGGCCAAGATCAATTCTCCCATGGCCTGCGCGTTTGCCCGACCTTTCGCCTATCGAACATGTCTGAGATATGATGGGTCGAAGGGTGGGAATGCTTCCCAACTCTCAACTCTCCAATGAACTTACAACAGCTGCGCGATGCCCCACAGGCTGCTTAGGATGACATACCTCAGAACTCCATGGATCTGATTAGAAGCATGCCCAGACGAACTGCTAAATGTATTCGTTTAAATGGAGGAGCAACACTTTATTGAATTTGGAGTATATAGGATGCGGTTTTTTCAATGAAAATTAAATCAATTCCTATTTTTCACACCATAAACATGTAGAAAATTTGATAAAAAAGTATACACTTTAAGTGAATGATGCGTTTTTTTTTGTCACATGGTATATAATATATACATATGCCAAAACTAAGTAAAATATCAGAGAAAACAACAAAAGCCTACCAACCCATCATCCTATCGTCGTTCTGACTTAAGACCCTTGCAAGGTTAAAACAGGAAAATCGACCGATCTAGCTCTAGACGACATAAACAGGCTGCTATCAACATCCATAGAAGAAGGAGATAGCAATGACCACCTTTCTGGACATAGTAGGAGCATTTAATAATGCATCAAGAAAGGCAAGTTTCATTAACGCTATGCCGATGGATGAAATCCAGCATTAAGTGACGCAATCACGAGACAGCGTCAGGAACATAGAAAAGTGATTTATATTCTTGATATAGAACGCTCACTTCTGTTGTAGTCGCCCAGTGACATTTCCGACGGTGCTGCCATAGCGGTGTAGTCATTGAACTAATATTTGGCGGGCCGTTTGAATCTCGGTTTCAAATGACTCGTTTGACATTTCAATTATTTCAAAATAAAACAGTGCTCCAAAACTTCATAAACTAAAATTTTATACATTTTATTTTCATATATTTGTGAGAATCACTCAATGAATAAAATAGTCTATAATCTAGATGATTATCTGACTCACTGAAAAACTTTTCAATTTGCTTTTTGGAAATGTCTATTTTTCCATTTGAATGTCATATTTGATCAAGTAATTTATAATTCCCTCGAGCATGTATTATGGAGCATCATACAGTGGCACTAGGTTGTTTATCTCCAACAAAACCAAAATTTCTGTTTCTGTGTTGTTTTTGATGGAGATTTCCCTGGTCTATGGCTGCAATTCGCTTTTGACCGATTTATTTTTTGCTGCCTGGTCACACATTGTGGCAACAATTTCCTATCCAGTAAACAAAGATAGCTAACTCATCGGTGAAGTCACAGATTAAAATAGAAACGAGGGGGACGTTGAGAAACGGCGATATGGACGCACAGCGGTGTAGTCATGAACTAAAACAAAAAGCGGAGGGGATGAATCCAGTGAATGTTCTATTTAAGAATTTCTAAATCACTTTTCTATGGTCAGGAAACAAAGGATGAAATAAACCCAGAGGCAAGAAACTACACACAGCAGAAACTATCGAGGTTATGGAGTTTGATGAAAAAGACAAAACCGGATGAAATACTCTAGACAAGACGAGGGTAGCAATAGATATTATAGGTGGCATATGATAAGGACACGGATAATGATGCGGATTTTCTTTTTTCTCGCATAAGCATCACATATTTTGTGTCAA